AACAAATAAAATGTAAATAATATAAGTAAGACAGGTGGTGCTCTCCCCTACCCTGCAGGTCTTCAAGAGGAGGTTAGGTAGGCATCTGCCTAGGGTCATCTGAACCCAGCACACTTTCCTGCCTATGCAGGGGGTCAGACTCGATGATCTACTGAGGTCCCTTCCAACCCTAACATCTATGAATCTATGAATAATAAAATATAAATAATAATAAATATAAACAATATACCAATAAAACATAATTAAAAGATAAAACGTTTCAGTGTCCCTCTACATGCTAAGTTTCTAGTTTAGCTCAGAGAACAAATAAACATTCTGTTCTACATTATTAAAAATAAGAGAATGCTCCTTTTGAATCATGTTGAACTTAACTCTGTCAGTATCAATTATAGGTGTGTAAAATTAAGTTGCCTAAGAATGAGGAATATACTGTCATTTCATCTCTAAGTTGGAGTTGTGTTTGCAGACATTCAATATTTATTTTTAATTTGGATGGTGCGAGGTATGGCATTTCCTGGAAGTCAACTCCCCAAGTAGTAATAAGGAATGAACTGGACTTTGATGAAAGCAATGGTGCTTGTGTGATGGCTACAAGAATCTTTTTTTAAATGATTATAGCATGTGATATATGTACACTGAATACCCTGACTTAGGGGGGAATGGGTTTTTATTAATTTAATTATTTCCCTCTGTGGTTGTCAACTGAGGACAGCTTCAAAATAAAGGTAGCTGCTGTTTTTTTTCTTTTCTATTCTTTTAAAGAAGAGATTAAACAGCACCTAACGTTTCTATCTACGGACCCTATTCTGGAACTGGGGGTGAGCAAGGCAAAGCCCCACACCTTGAACAGTGATGAACATAATAAAAAGCGATAGAACATTGAGAGATGAGTGCTTCAATGTATAACTGAGGTAGTTAATACTTTTTCCCATTGCTCTATGCATGTTACACGATTTTTTCTGTGAATTTTGTATCAGGTTAAGCGAGTTTACATTTCCCATTAACTAGAATGAGTTTTGCCTAGTGCTTCAAAAGGTTTTTAGAGGATGCACCTACACCTGAGCTTTCATGTGCAGTAGCCTATTTTACTGAGCATTAACGCGTCACATAAAAAACAATGCTATTACAGAAACGTACAGTAAAATAGGCTACTGAGCATTAAGTGTCGCTTAAAAACAGTGCACATTTGTTACCACTCATTAAGGCGGCCTAATGAGTATTTGTTTAGTACCTCACATAGGGAGGGCACTTTTACATGTGCTCCAGGAAAGAGGCGGGGGCAGAGTTTTAATTAGAGCGGCTCCAAGAGCCAATATAATTAGAGCCCTGCTGTGTATTCTGTATCAGTTTCCCTCTGCTTAAAAATAGTGGCAGGGGTACATGAACTAAAGCTTGTTCAACAAGCTTTAGTTCAAGTGCCCCCACTGCCATTTTTAAGCGTGGAGACGCTGATGCAAAAGATGCATGAGGCTGCTGGAGCATGGCAATTGCCATGCTCCAACAGACTTGATTAAAATATACAGTTTAATAGAGTCTGCTCCAACAAACTGGAATTCCAGCACATCGGAGCAGCCTCTGCACTTGCATATAGGTGCCCAGAGATACCAAATTTCATGTGCGTTAGGGAAAGCACTTTAATGCACATGCAGATGTACCCCGAGAGATTTAGAAAATTATTCTTGTGGCTTAATCTATTACGGACACAAATCAGGGTTTGAAATGAGGATTCAGCTAAAATTATCTTCAGGCACTCCTAAGCAGCTGAATTGCATCAGATGATCTTCAGAGCTACATTCTAGTGACTAGCAAAGAGTTTTGGGATCCTTGGAGATAAAATGCATTACGTAAATGTAAAATATTATTATTATTATTATTATTATTATTATTAACAGATATTGTTGCCTTTTATGGAAAGACAGATAATTCCCCAAAAAGACTGATTTGACAGGCTAGGGAATTACTTTTTAAAACAACACAGAATAATATCCATGCAAAATGAGTACAAATAATACCACATTGTTTACAGAAGCCTATGCTTGGGGACCCTGATGCCTCTTTCCAAACTACTATGCGGACCCAAATCTAACATTATTAAAATAAAAAGAAAGGTCAAGATCACATTTCTGTAATATCTTTTAAATCTCCCTGTGTTAGTAGTAATCCCTTGTATGGTTAGATTTATAAAAGTTCCATCCAAACTTTATTAAAGTTTTGACATGGCTCAGTATTAGCTTGCTTAAAATATACAGATGATAATAAGCCGTAGAAAAGAAAAACTTAGCCTAAAAAGCTAAAACAAGGAAAATGATATTATAATCTATGACCCAGTTCTGACATCAGTTTTGCCACTTCTGACTTCTGCAAGAGCAAGACTGTGAACACTTATATTCTGCTGGTGCTTGGGCTTTAGATCTATAATGACAGTGAAGTTCTTCTGTGTCAAGTATATCTCACTGAAATTCTTATTCCTTCAAAATCCAAAGGTGAGTGATCCAGGAACAAGTAATGTGAATAAAAGTAATTAGGGCTATGAATACTCCTTCCCTCTCTCCCTACAGCCATATGTAACTATACATTCTTTGGTTATGCTGCATAAACTGCATCTACAATGACATTATTATTTTTAACTTGTTCCAATCTACATAGGATTGGATATATATCAACTATAGGATAGGCGGTAGCCCACTGGCTGGCACAGCATCTGAACGGGACCTGGAGGTCACAGTTGAGCAGAAGATGAATATGAGCCAACAGTGCAAGGAAGTCGCCAGCAGGGCGAATAGAACTCTTGGCGTGCATCAGCCGATGTGTCACCAACAGATCTAAAAAGGTGCTCCTCCCTCTCTACTTGGCATTGGTAAGGCCACAACTAGAGTACTGTGCCCAGTTTTGGGCACTGCACTTTAAAAAGGATGCGGATAAACTCAAGAGGGTGCAGAGAAGGGCTACCTGCATGATTAGAGGCCTGGATATAGGCCCTATGAGGAGAGGCTCTGGGAGCTGGGCTTGTTCAGTCTGGGGAAGAGGAGGCTGCAAGGTGACTTGATAGCCGCCTACAAGTATGTCAGGGGGGAACACCAAGATCTGAGGGAGCAACTCTTCAGGAAGGGACCCCTTGGGAGGACGAGGACCAATGGTCACAAACTAATAGAGGGAAGATTTAGGCTGAACATAAAGAAGAACTTCTTCTCCATAAGGGTAATTAGAACCGGGAGCACACTCCTGGCAGAGGTGGTGCAGTCGCCATACTTAGAGCTGTTTAAGAGGAGGCTGGATAAGCACCACTGAGCTACTTTGACCTCATTAAACTCCTGCCTATGGCAAGGGACCAGACTTGATGATCTCCCAGGTCCCTTCTGGTCCACTGACTGTATGACTCTATGACATTGTGTAATTTAGCCCATTTTTACTTCTTCCCCCTGGAGCAGCCTTACAAAGCGATACTTTGATTTGGGCAGTCATCAGCTCCCATAGACCTTTCCTCAGCACCTTTCTTTCCTATACAACAGTTCAAATATTGATCCATGAATTCTCCTGTAGGCAACAAAAGGACAAATATAAATTAAAAGCAAATAAGGAACTACAGTCTTATTCAATCACTGGATCCCTGCTTCCTCTCTGATTATCCCTCCTTTCTCTTTTTAGCTTTCTTAAACTCCTTCCTTATTATATGCTCAATTTAGATGGCAAGGCTTGTGGGATAATGACAGTGGATTCAACTGCTACCCTATACCTAAGCTCATACCAAGCACAGGCAGAATACAAAAGTATAAAAGTGTCTCTAAGCATCTGACTCCCCGCAAGCTGAAACAAGCTCTGCATGAACAGTCTTAGGATTACTGCAACCTGCTCTGACTTCTAATAGCCTGCCAGGGAGGGCTGTGGCTGAGCAAAGGGGTCTTCACAAAGCCACGGGTCTAGTTTGGGTGTTTTTCTGCTGTGTATGCCATCATACATACCTATGTACTGGAATAATAAGTTATATATATCTAAATAATAAGTTATATATATCATACATACTTATGTACTGGAATAATAAGTTATATATATCTAAATATATCAGTGAGAAACAGGTAGAAATATTGTTTCAAAAAAGGTGCCTGACATGGTACTCTGAGAAACATGAAGGTAATAAAAGAGAGAGAAAAATATTTAGGTATCATGCAGTATTCTACATTGCACCTTCAAAGTACCACATAAACGCCACTCCTTTGTTATCTCTGTTTGGAGAAAGTGAGGCAGAGAAGCATATTTACTCCTTGCGTGATCCTGAGCATGTTCTTTGGAAAAATTGGCCCTGTTGTAAGTGGACACAAAAGCCAAATCAGCGATTTTGATTAAGCTGAAGAATGAATTTGGCCAAGGCAACATCTCCAGGGACAGCCAGAGTACAAATGGCAAAATCATTCTGGAAGCATGTGGTCACTGCTCACCATATTATTCATTACAGTAAGCCCTTAGTTATTACCATGATGAGATAATTCATGCTACTACCCATTTTATATTTTCTTCATGCACCATTTTACAGTGAGAAGCATGATTTTTGTAATGTTTATTTAATTTTTAGTAGTTATCTTGGATCATTTTGTTACAATCTCCCCACCTGTGAGACCAGTTCTTGCTAATTAATAGGATAAAGAGCCTACTGACCATTTGGGTGCAGATCCTAGTTCTGCTTCCTGTGTGATCTTCAGCAAGTCACTTTATCTTGCTGTTTCAGTTTTCCCTCTGTAAATTGGGAATAATAACACTTCTGTTTATTGTTGATGCTAAATTCATTAATCTGTTTAAAAAAAACTGTGAAAGTATTGGACAAAAGGCCACGAAGTGGAAACTATCATTACTATAGGTCTCCCAGCACCAGAAAAAATGATCTAACATTTCAATTAAAATAAAGAATTTTTTTGAGACATCGTTGCCATAATTTTAGAGTTCAATATATTATAAGAAGTCAAAGCTTAAAATGTGAGTACTGTAGATCACCGAGAACCCTGGAATCCTGACTTCCTACTCCGATACAGTACTGGCTACTAGGTGTGTGTCAACAAAGAAAACAATGGCTTCCAAGGCTGTCTATACATGTGCATATTCATGTTCTAATCATAACACTCCAGCATTGCCTCACCACCATGTGTATTATGTCCCCATGCATTTTAAAATGGCCATGGGATGCTTTATCTAAAGCTTGTCAAATGAGGTTTAGATAAAGTGTCCCATGACCATTTTTAAACATACGGGGCTTAATACATGTAATGATGAGCCATTTTAATTAAGGTGGCTGTCTGGGAACCGCTCTAATTAAAACACACCACCCCTAAGAACATATATAGGTAGCTTAAAAGTGTTACGGATTCAGGATCAAAGATAGCTAGCACTGAACTTCAAAACAAACGTTAATTTTAAATCCTTGTTTTTACTTCACCATATTTTTAGTGTTGGCACATAAACTTTATGGCTAGGGACACAAGTTACACATAAACTGGTTTAAGTGATCAGAAACTGGTTTAAACCTATAACAGATAAGAAGTGCAGTGCACATAAACCATTTCAAAATGACTGAAACTAGTTTGAGATAAACCTGGTTGAATGTAGTATGAGACTTAACTGATTTGGGTCAAACTGGTTTATGAAACTTCTATCCTAGACCCCTTCCTGGTTCAAGTTAAAACATAGTCCCCCAGCATCCCACCATGCTTTCCAGCCGTGGACTGGGCTGTGCTGTCTACCCCAGAAAGCAGGGCTGGCCCTACCCTCTGCTCCCTAGCTGGAGCAGTGAGGGCTGGCTGACAAGGGTGTGGCAGAGGCTGGAGATGCAGCCCAGTCTGCAGGGAGGGACTGCCCCCCACCACTTAGGCAAACCCTGGCTGGGGTCTGGGCCCTGCTCAAACTTACTGCTGGCTGCAACTGTGGACTACAAATCCCAGAGGCACCTGGAAGCAAGAAGAAGCAGTGATGAGCAACCCTGCGGAGTTCTGATACTATAATTCTGGACTGCAAATCCTAGAGACCTTGGGGGCAGCAGGAAGAAGAAGTGAACACAGCCAGGCAGCCATTCCTCCCCGGCTTCTGGCCTGAGACACTGCAGGCATGTGGCTGAATTTCCTGAAACAAAGGTCTGTTCACTTCTGTTTCAATTGAATCTCTGCAGTTTAGACTAACCTGCAAAGACTGAATCAATTCAGCCTCGGGCTTTTTGACTGTCCGTACTTAGACTATCAAAACCGATGTAAGGGCCAAATGTTATTTATTTCACGGTCCCACAGTTGTATAGTTACATGGAAATACGAATGAGTGAATAAAGGATGCGTATATAATGTTGTATCATGTCTACTTTGTTTTTTTCAGAGAATTCTGATAGTGAAATCTGTGTGCTTGTGTATGTATTTATGCTAAACAAGAATCAGTGGATATATGTCACTACATTATGTTTTTTGTCACAGATGCCATTATTCAGTTTAACATGAAATGTCTGTTCAAAGCAAAAATAAACTGCATGAGACTCTGATGTGCGCTTAGGTGGCAAGACAATTCACATACCTTAATAAATTAATTATTGCTATATTCAACTGCCCACATTTTATGAAAACAATGACCCTAACATTTCCTTCATGAAACCTGATGCAGAGAGTGCATTTTGAAAAGAAAGGTGGAGTAAACACTTTAAAATCAAAACCTGCCTGGGGAACTGATTCTGTATTAGGTTAGAGAGGTTCAGGATGAAGTAGCATATCTTGGAGTCATCAGTACAAATGTAATAGATAGTTTCATAGTTAGTTTCATAGTTTCTAGGGTCGGAAGGGACCTTAGCAGATCATCTAGTCCTACCCCCTGCCATGGCAGGAAAGAGTACTGGGGTCAAACGACCCCAGCAAGGTGTTCATCTAACCTCCTCTTAAAACCCCCCAGGGTAGGAGCCTGCACCACCTCACTTGGAAGTTGGTTCCAGACCCTAGCCACCCTGACCGTGAAATAGCGCCTCCTGATGTCTAACCTAAACCTACCCTCTGCCAGCTTGTGACCGTTA